AACATGTATAAATCCATCCATATCACTTCTACTCTTTGCTAGTCTTTCCTGGGCTGTCAGTCTTCCATTTTATTGCCTAGATAAGGGAAATCATTTACCATTGACAAAGCTCTGCTTGGCCTAGGAGGGACATCTTTCCTGTGTCATTCTCCATTTTATTTTAGTGCACTTGAAAAAATTACAAGAGGGAACATATCCAAAGTTGTGTAAAAAGTAAGATAAAAGCCTAATTAACATTCTATGGCATCAATAACTTCTGAATTTGAAACTTCCTGATTTGTAACTCCCTCTTGTAGTGGCTTTGATACACCAATATTCTAAACTCCTGTTTGAGCTAGAGAGCTACCTAATGAAACTGGGCCCTAGCTTTGGAAGCAAAAGAAGACAAATGAGGATACCTTGGTCAGTACACGGCAAGACCTTCAAATGGGATATGAAGATAAAATACAGGTAGTCCTTGACTTACAACCAGGGATGAAATCTAAAAATTTTCCCTACTGGTTCTGTGGGCTTGGCTTAATTGGCAGGCATGGCTTGGTGGTCAGGTGACCCGGTGAGCGTTGCTTGGTGGTCAGGTGACCGGGTGGGCGTGGCCAATAATAATAAATAATAAAAATAATAAACAAAGTACACAAAGCAAGAGGTACCAAAAAACAAATTTCACACTTTACACACACACACAACACAACACAACACAACAGACTCACACACAATGTAAAAGCAGCTGCATTTCACCCAAAATGGCCCCTGCAACAATCAGGAACCTCACACAGCCACAAAAAGCTGAAAAACCAACTTTCACACTTTACACACACACAACACAACACAACACAACTGACTCACCCACAATGTAAAAGCAGCTGCACTTCACCCACAATGGCCCCCGCAACAAGCAGGAACCTCACACAGCCACAAAAAGCTCAAAAACCAACTTTCACACTTTTTCCACACAAAATGCCACATACAGCTTTGTAGAGATTTTGTGTGTTTATATAGTTAGAGTGAAACATGACAGAAACACACCAAATCTCAGAAAGCTGCACAAATATTTTATTTTATTATTTTATTTTATTTTATTTATATTTATATTTTTAGATAAAAGCAGCTAAATTTAAAGCTTCCTTAACTTTAAATTGCTATGTCTAAAAAAAAAACCTCCTAAAAAACCCCCAATTAACTATTTTTTAAAGCTCCCTCCCCCCAAAAAATACAACCCCCAGTTACTTACCAAATTGAAGGCACAAGGCAGGCCGATTGAGTTGCTCACTGATTGGATTGATTTCAGGCAGGCAGATTGAATTGCTAGCTGATGCAATTGATTGCAGCAGCCGAAGCAAGGCAGGAAAAGCGAGCGAGCCCAAAAGAAGCAGCAAGCTGCCAAGCGGGCAAGTGGTGACTGGGCGATTGGGTGGGCATGGGCGGGGGGGCCCCACGGACTTTTGTTATCGGTTCTCTGAATTAGCTGCCGCCATCACTACCGGATCATCCGATCCGGTCCGAACCAGGAGCATTTCACCTCTGCTTATGACCTTAATTGAGCCCAACATTTCTGTTGTTAAGTGAGGCATTTGTTAAGTGGGTTTGGCCCCATTGTATGACCTTTCTTGTCACAGTTGTGAAGTGAATCGCTGCAGGTGTTCATTTCGTAACACGGTTGTGAATCTGGCTTCCCCATTGACTTTGCTTGTCAGAAGGTCACCAGGGGTATCACATGACCCCGTGACATTGCAACCGTCATAAAAATTAATCTGTTGCAAAGTGTCTGAATTTTTATCACCATGGGGATGCTGCAAAGGTCATAAGTAGGAAAAATGATCATAAGTCACTTATTTCAGTGCTGCTGAACCATCACTAAATGAATTGTTGTAAATCGAGGATTACCTGTAACGTTTTTATGAGGCTATGGCATTTCCTTAAAAGAATACCAGTATTTCCATATTTAAGTGGTTAGGAATAATATAATCAAACAAAGCAATACAAAGTGAAGCTTTCACATTGCATTGTTGACTTTCGCTGGCATCTTCAGTATTCTGTCATTTAGTTTAGAGAAGATTGGAGAATCTCACAAAGTTCAAGGTACTCTACAAGAGAGGCTGGCAGAAAAATGGAGAGATGTAAAAAAAATAGAGGTTGATGGATACCAGGAGGATATTATTTTTTGCCGCCAAAGGTTTGGCTAGCAAGTAGCAAGCCTGAGTTTAAGAGTGTAGATATAAAATCTACATAAATTCTTCTTTGGCAGCCAACAGAAGTAAACATTTTACTCTGTTGCTGCAGCTGATCATAGGACTGAGCTGCACATATCTGTACTGCATCTTTCGCCAAATTAGATTAACTGCTTCTATGCCCCATCTATGCAGAACAAGAATAAACTCATTGGCTTCTGCCTCCACTTCCAAGTTTCCCATTTCTACTTGCATTGTTTCTGTGTTGTTGGGAAAAAATGATTTCCATTAAAAGGCCCTTCTCAGTATGTGGATTGGGAATCCTAGAAAATCAGAATTCTGTTTGTAGACGGAGCTTCTGAAGTAAAAGTGGCATGCTGCAGCAGCGGTTGTCCTTTCACATTGTGAGGTTCAGCATGAATCCCAAGGACTTGGCCTCATTTTTGGCGTTATGAGATAGTAATTGTGTGCTTGTGTGAACCCACATAGGACTTAGGAGGTTTTCACAGTCCCTTCTCAGTATGATGTAACTATTATGTACTGGTCCATTCATATGAAACCTGTGCAATGTGCGGACAGTAGAGCTTTTGTGTTATGTTCCAAGAATAACTATGAAAGATGCGATTGTGAATCAGTTCTAAAATATATCTCTGACGAGAGGTTGAGATGAGTTGCAAAGTTTTTCAGATTCTTTCTCCCCAAAAACTGAAATGTAATGGGCTGGGAATATGGCAGGGCTATCTCTATCCGAGTATATGCAAAACTCAAAACTGCTGCACTAATATAAGAATGCTAAAGGCTGAAAGCTCCTAGAATGCAGAATACAACCAGGACTGCATATTATATTATAATACAGCCAGCAAAATGACCTTGCTAAAATAAATACTACAATAATATATATATTAAAGTCTCAATTTCTCATGCACTATAACGACAAGTGAAGTCCTCCATATATTACTATATCTGTCTTCTCAGATTGCCAAACACACAATATTAAGGCATGCTAATACAGGCCCTATGCTACCTTAGAGTAATTAAATAACTTAGGTATGTGTTTGGTTGGAAAAGATTCAAAACTCCACAGGGATAGGTGATACCTTTTAACTTAAGCTAAATTCTCCATAAACCTGTTGCAAAGAATATAATTCCTTGCAAATATTTGTAACCGGATCTGTGACATACAGGTCTATATGCCATGTATGATTTGAAGACATTGTCTTCACTTTGGTCTTGTTTTAATTAATGGGCAGAAATTCCTGCCTACCGTACATAACTAAGATTGAGATTACTCTTCTTATTGCTATAAAACTTTGGAACAATAAAAAAAACCCTTTCCAACTCTGAAATGGAATTTGAAATGTGAAGTTGAAATATATCTGCTGGCTAGTTTGGGGAAATCAAATTGAAAAGTATCAATGTCTGCAACTGATGAATAAATGCAAACCTTAAATAAGAACACATCAAGATTATTCTGCTGCCTGTATTATATCAGATAGCAGTTCCTGAAAGTTACATCTGACCATAGAAATGTTACTATAAAGCTGGTTAAAAAAATAGAAGTAATTATGGCTTAATGGAGAAGGTACCAAACTTCATCCAGACTAGAGCATCTCTGTAGAGATGCAATAAAAGACTAATTTAAAATCTATGTATCCTACTGGTAGGGACAACTCGGGCAAGCTTGTGTATTTTTATGATAATTACAATACCGATTCCAGGTAGACTGACATGGTTAGAATCCAGTCATCTTTTCTTTCAAGGCTTTATTGGCATCTTAACCAGTCCAGTAGTTTCCATAAAACAATATGTGGTGTAGTTTGCTGAGACTACTCAACTGGCTGAATAATTAATACTTGACAAATGTCAGGCTATAATTCATGGGATGTGAGCTTTATGATTGATAGAAAGGTAGACCATATTGAAGCCCACTGATCTTCTAGGTTTTAGTAAACCGGATGGTAGAAAACTTGCTTCCAGAGCCTTCCCAAATTTTGAGCTATAAAATTATTAACTTCCAAAGGAATAACTATGCCATTTTGAGAGATTTGTTTAAAAAAGAGACAGTAATGATTAACATCTAAAAATAAACCATCATGAAATGAGCTGTTCAGTCATCTGCAGTTGCTTTTATATTTAGGTTCTTATCTTCAACATTTTTTCGGAGCTCCTATGCATCGAATTGTAGCAGGAGGGTCCTGCTAAGTATGATCTCATGCCAAACGTAGGTTTCCAGCCCTTACTTTGTGCCCTCTTTCGCTCCAGCATGAATGTATGTTCACACTTCTATGAATTGAGTAAGAGTGTACATGCTTTGTGACTCTTTGCATCTTTTGTTAGAAAACTGGCTCTGTAAATGAATCCCATGGCTCTGGGCTCAGCAGGTAAAGGAAGAAGGAAGTCTGTTAGTGCGTGAGCCTAATCAGGCTGGCAAGAGCAAGTAAAGTAGGGCAGCATCACACATTAGCTACTGTGTAATTGAGCTCTTTGATGGTCAGGGCACTGTAGGAGAGGGTGCCAAGCGGAGCAGAACTTTTGTTGTTAATTCAGTCACCCATGGAAGCTGTAAAGCTGTACATCTCTGCATCTTGGTGCCTAGAGAACTGAAAAGCCCTTGCAAGCAGCCTTTTCAGTCCCTGCCCTTGGCCCCAGTCTGCAAACTTTCAGGCCTTCTCTCTGCCTCCGGTTCTCAGCACTTGATTTCCCTTTTCTCTTTCTTTCTTTGGTTCGCTTTCTTCCCCATGCACTATAAAAAGCAAAGCTCCCATGCCGTTTGAACTAGGCGGCTGTGAGTGAGGGCTAGCTCAGAGCTGTGTGGCTGTTACCTTTGTATTCCAGATGAAACTGCCAAGCTCCGTGGGACAGAAGAAGATTAAAGCCTTGGAGCAGATGCTGATGGAACTCGGAGTAGGTGAGTAAAGAGGGCAGGGAGAGGGAGAGGGAGAGACCCATGGAGCAGTGCCTTTGTAGTCAAGATGGGCTATTTTTTCCCCCCTAGTAATACAGCCAGTTCCTTCAATAACACTATATGTGAATGGGTTTGAAAATAATATGTATTTTGTTTAAGGAAAAAAAGAAGGGGTAAAAACCAAAAGATGGTGCATAGGATTAAAAAAAAATACCTTTCCAGTAGAAAAGTATTTGAACAGTCTTTGTCGTTTTCTCTCTTGGGTGGGTTCTTTTAAGGCATCAGAAGTCATGGAATAATATTAAGGAGGGAAGTCTCATCATGTAGGGAGAAGTACTTAGGAAAGAGTGAGTGACCATTGCCCAAACATCTCTGATCCCCTTTTGGTACCTTGCAGCTCTCATTTTGGACAGATCATACATGGTCAGCACAAGGGTCTTTCTGTAATATTGTCAATTCCTCCAAAGCACAAATAGTTGCCTTGTGTCAAGGCTGGATCTGGATTTTGCCACCTTTACATCCAGTGAATAGCAGCCTCCTTGAGTCTAGGAACCTTTGGCTCTAGCAGTTACCTTGAATAATGAACTGAGTGTTCAGTTAATGCCTTCCTTGCAAGATGGACCAGTATCTAAACCCTCTTCTCATACTGTTGAGGCTTGGCTGGAATCTGAAGGCGGATTCCTTGTATGTCCAGTGACCTGGACAATAGAGTTTGGGTTTATTCCTGTATCTGACTAGGAATAAAGTAGGATTACAGCAGCCCTACAGCTGACAACAGGTTCTGGGTCTCCTCATGTAGTTTTCTTCTCCTGCTTTCTCTAGATTTGAACCCGATGCCAACAGAAGAAATTGTTCAGATGTTCAATGAGTTGCGCAGTGATCTGGTGCTACTATATGAGCTCAAGCAAGCCTTTGCAAACTGTGAATATGAGCTGCAGATGTTGCGCCACCGCTATGAGGCACTAGCCAAAGCAGGTAGCACAGGACCTAGCACAGACGGTGGCTCACATCTCGATGGACAGTCAGGCTTGTGCACAGAAGAAGGCAAGGGTGACAGCAAGGAGCAGATCATTGATGTGGTGGGAGCACCCCTCACACCTAATTCAGTGAGTATTATTCGGAAGATTTTTTTTGCCATTGCTTGGTTTTTAGCATATGAAGATACAGCCTTTGGGGAGCCACTTGAAACAACAGGATGCTTGGGGGCCTTTGGGAAAGAAGCTTATTTTCATTCTCGGGTGATATACAATCAATCAGAATAGAGCTGGGAGGGACCTTGAGGTCTTCTAGTCCAATCCCCTGCTCAAGCAGGAGACCCCATACCATTTCAGACAAGAGGCAGTCTGGCCTCTTCTTAAAAACCTCCAGTGATGAAGCACCCACAATTTCTGAGGGCAAGCCGTTTCACTGGTTAATTGTTCTCACTGGTAGGAAGTTTCTCCTTAATTCCAGGTTGCTTCTTAGTTTCCATCCATTTTTTCTTGTCTACCCCAAAACTGCTTGCTGAACCTTAAGGAAGAAGGAATTTGTTCATGCAGTCATGAGCCCCTGGAACCAGGCTCACCTGATGGCATCATAGAGAGACATGGACGTTTTTCTCAAGGACAGACTTCCAGGATGTTTCACTCAGTATATACCAGCGATGGTGAACCTTTACAGCACTGACTGCCCAAACCAGAACGCATGTGCATGCGTGCGTGTGCATGCACCGGAGTGCTGGAAACCCAAAGACCAGCTAGCCGGTGCGCGCATGCGTATTTTTTGGCCATTTTACAGGCTGTTTTCAGGCCATTTTTCAGGCTGTTTTCTGAGCCGGTTTTCAGGCCGGTTTTGGCCCGAAAAATGGCCTGGAAACGGCCTGGAAAATGGCCTGTTTTTTGGCTGTTTTTCAGGCCGCTTTCCGGTGCCTGCGAAGACCAACTGGCCAGAAACCAGAAGAACAGCTGGTGACAGCACGCGTGCCCATCGAGAGGGCTTTGTGTGCCACATCATGGGTACATACCATGTAATCATCCCCACCCCCAATTCAATCTAGGGCCTCATCGCCCTGCTTTTTAAACTGACATTTTGTTAAATCTCCAACTATTAAGTTTAAATTGTAAGATACAAACTTTGTTATAATGGGGTCAGTGAGTTATTAGTTACATTTGCGATCAGGCTATTAGTCAGGTAGCCATTACTCTACTTGTTCATTGTAGTGCAGCTATCCAGTGCGTTGGCATAATGGCACGCCAGTCTTTACAAAATGTTAGAGATTAAATTGGAATTTTATGTAGCAGCCCATTCTTAAGGGGAGGATAGAAGTCTCTACTGGGAATGGTCTAAACCGTCCTGCTGGGCACCATTGCCCTGCCGTTTTGGGGAAACTCAAAATCCCATCCACGTCTGGGTTTTAGCCAATCTCATAATCAGTTCTTATTATCCAGTACTGAGCCATTTTTCTGTATAACAATTTTCTGTTACAAAATGTTGGAGTCTTTCATGGCACTGTATTTTCTCATTCTGGACTTGGAATAGGAACAGAGAGAATAGCACCAAGAGGGTTAACATGATCTGGACTGTGATGTATTTGAAAGAAATATAATCAAGTTAATTCACTGCAAGGCAAGTTTGGTACCTAAAGGGCCCCCCTGTTAAATACAGCTCTGACCTTTACCAGCTGGTTACACAAAGACGACACAATTAGATTAGTTCAAGACAAAAGGTCAAGCACATTCGCACTGTGACCCCTTTACACTGTCTTTGGAAAGGAAAGAAATTCCACCCAACAAGAGGGGGCAGCTCAGGAAGGTTCGCTGTTATTTTCAGGATGGAGAGGAGGGTCATACATTGGTTGGAGGGTAGAGAGGAATTCTCCTTTGTGAATTTGGGGAAAAGGATGCTCCATAGATGTGCAAACATACTTAGGTAGCATGTTGCAGAGTCACCATATTTTACTTTAGGTAGGCACCATGAGTCCAATTGTTTGGACTACTTATTTCTGTAAGATTGGCACCTAACCTGGATTGGCACAAAGTTGAAACCAGCTTGATTTTTTCTTGTAGAAAGAATATGGATTGGTGTGGGAGAAAGTTACTACAGGTGATAGTTACAATCTCATATTACAGATGTTGTGATGTCCTGTGTCACATGATAGCAATTTATGACTTTCTTGTGGGCTTCCCAGAAGTAAAGTCAATGTGAAACTGGCAGGAAGTTGGAAATGGTGGTTACCCGAGATCCTCATTTAACGACCCATAAGGTCTTTGTTTAACAATGGCAGCTTGGACTGTTGGAACTCTAAGCAGTGAAGACACGTGGCTTTTTGAATTAACTGTCATATCACTTAATGACAGATTCCAGTCTCTGTTAGTGTTGCTAAACGAGGATTACCTGAATAATGACAGTATAATTTCATAAGATTTGAGTGAATAGACATTTGACTGAAATAGATCTCAATGAGCAAATAGAAACAAAGAAAACTGATGGTAGAAAAGGACCTAGTGATCCATCAAGTCTGCCCTTTGAGTTTTGTTTTTTGTTTTCTTTTTAATGTATTTCTTTAGTTACTATTTTTTTTTTGGAAGATGGACATGTGTTTATCCCTTAACTCAGTTACTGATGATTGTCTCACTGCCCAAACCCCCAAATGTTTTGCCATGTTTAAACATGGGAGCTGCGTAGTTACGGTTAGAGTATGATGTTAGAGTTCTTATCCTGCTTGGCATTCCAGATGAGTCTCTGGAATGAATTTAAGTAGTAGAAGTAAAGTATAGTTCACATTGCTAAATGTTCAGTGACAGATGGTGGCTATGAACTATGAGTCTTTTACATCTACATATAGCATGATTGGGATTCCAGATGTTTAGCTGTTTGTCTTCTGAGCAAAACATAGCAAAAACCCTTCTTTTATCAAAGATATTTATTGCTACATGTATCCATGGATTAGTCTGCTTCATCAGATGCATGGAGTGGAGACATCCTGGTGCAGACAATATCTGAAGTAGGCATTTGAATTTATCTGGATTATATTGTCTAAAAGTTCTGGTTTATATCTTTTCTTGTTCTCTTTACTTGACAAGACTTCTTTTCCAACCTAAAACTTTTAAAAGAAATTGTTCCTAACCAATTGATGACATGCATTCTCAAATTAAGCCCTACATAGTTGCTGTCAGTGATTTCAGTTGGCTGGAGGTCAACATTTTGAGGGTGACTTTTTCTTCCCCAGAACGATTCATATTTTAGTTGGGAGCAAGGTCCACTATTGGTGGTTCCCAATGAAGGTCTTTTTTCCCCTCATTCCGGCTGACCCAGAAAGGATGTTGCTCTGGGCCTTGAAGGGGCAAAAGGTGAGCTATAACTTGGAACAAATTAGTTCCAAGCACAAGTACAGCCAGTTACTCCAGATTAGGGCCTTTGATTTGCACAACTCAGACTCTACTTGCCCATCCATAATGAGTTGACTCTCCTCAGAATTCCTCACATCAGCACTCTTTGTTCCTAGGCTCACAAGTCAGCCTATTAATGGGGAAACGAAAAGACCTTGTCTGTAAGAAGTCTTGGGTTCAGAGTCGGAATCATTTGACTTTTAAGCTGCCTTTATCTGAACTCCTGCTGGCTCCTTGTTTTCTGAGCCTACTTGAAAGTGCAAAGTTACATTGTTAACATCAAAAATCTTTCTTTTAAGGATGGAGTTAGAAAAGCTCACTCGCGTGTCTCTATAAAATGTGTCTCTCTGTCATGGCGGGAGGGGGGAATGTATGTATTCTCATTTTAAAATAATTCCTTTCCATTAACAGTGAGGCAAGCTCCCAGATTCTTGTAAATTATAACGGAGAACATTTTTTTTCTAAGCACTTTTCGTTTTCGCCCATAGCGATAGGAAAAGCCAAGCTAGAGAAGGTGATTGATATGAATTTGTGACATATTTGAAAGATCGCTCTTTTGCCACATCAGGATTATCAAACACATGCACTCATTCCCATTAATTCAGCAGTCTCACTGAGTAGCTCTGAAGTTTCCATGCCTTTGTTTTCAGCTTGTGCTGGCTATTTAAAGCCTATCTTTTGACCTCGTTTCCTCAAATACTAGCAGGTACCACTTAACCAACAAAATCATGAAAGGCTGCTTTGTGAGTCCACCAGGAGCCTGCTGTTTCAGAGAATAGGCTTGTGCATTCCTAAGAAGTAGGTGCTCTCATTCATAAGATAGACCTAGTTTGGTGTAGTGGTTAAGGAATCAGGGTGGAAACCAGGAGACCGTGAGTTCTAGTTTCACCTTAGGCATAAAGCCAGTTGTGTGACCTTGGGCTGGTCAGTTTCTCTCAGCCCTAGAAAGGAGGCAGAGGCCAACCACTTCAGAAAAACCATCAGAAAAACTGCAGGGACTTGTACAGGCAGTCTCCAAGAATCAGGCATGACTAAATGGAAGAAAAAATTGGGAGAGGATGGGATTTATTTACTGAAGTTCTTAATCATTTATATTGCACACATTTAAAACAAGCCTAGGTGGGAATGAATGAATAAATGATCCAAGGACCCAATTATAAATTCCTTCTCTTCTTGATTACAATCACTGATTTTCTTTAGAAAACGATTTTCATTCATTCATTAAGATGTTCTATAATCCTTGGTCGTATCAGTAAATTATTCGTAATTTCAAGCTATTGAGATATTGACATATTATTTTAGGCATTTGGTAGTCCAAATGAAATATCTACAAGCCCTTGCTAGGGCAGTGGAAGTAGAATTCCTGTATCCTTTGGAAATGCAGTTTGCTTAAGAGAGAGAACATCATCCCAGGAAATTATGTGCCTGCCAGATATAGTGTTCCGTCCTTAAGCAACCTGATGTCATATGTTCCTTCCATTGTCCCAATATGTACAAGCTACAAGTAAACATCTTTTTTGTGCTATGGTTTTGTCTATCAGAATTTTACTTGTCATTTTTTCATGTCACTGTAATGATCAACTAATTCCCTGTTCTTGGGGTAGCCTCAAGTAAGTTTGTATTCCATCTGTTATGTTCTTTTAACTACTTAGGATCTACATGTAAGGTTTTCTCCTGCATTTTCTGCCTGAATATATGTCATTTTTTGCTTTGCAAGGTTTTTTATTGAATTGGGGATTTTTGCCTGAAAAATTGACTCCTCTTCTGCTTCTTATTTGTTTCTTGTTGGAACAGAGAAAGCGCAGGGAATCTGCTTCCAGTTCCTCATCTGTCAAGAAGGTGAAGAAGCCATGAGTAGCATGATGGTCCAAGTTCAGGATCTTGGAGGACCAAGTTACTGACTGCAGGTGCAAGGAGGATATGTCTCCCCATACTGTAGTAGGGACCATTATGTTGAAGGACTTTGTTTGCCTTTGCTTACATCAGGAAGAAAGGTGTTTACTGCCCTCATAAAGAAGAGGACGAGCTCAAAATCCTGAATTGATTGTTGCTGTGATTTTATTGTATATTTTGCCTATTCCTGAGTTTTGTAAATGATGTAAATATAGAATCCATAATCTCTTGTTCCAGAATCATAGTCATTGAGAGGGAAGGGCAGGAGATAGCCCCCTGTGTCAACAGGATTTGGGTTGCATTTTGTGCTGGAATGGCCATGGGCTGTGTGATTAAAGTTATGGTAGACATGCATCAGATTATCAATGGAGAAAATTGACCCCTGGTTGAGCAGTAATTCCAGCTGCCTCCTCCCATTCTCATAAAGTTGGCATATGTTTCTCTGTGGTTTAGCAGGCCAGTTTATGGGATACCAACAGCCTAAATCGTTCTCCCAAGGTTTCATCTTGTTAAAGAAATCTTATTAATTCAGAGCCACTGCATCTAAATTACATTTCAAAGCAAGGAATTTTTACCCCCTTGACAGTTAGGTGAGGCAATATACATTGCAATAACCATTATTTTTAAGGTCATTATCTGCTGGACTGAAAGTGACTCCTTTTGCTATTATAGCACCTACTATCTGTCAGATTAGTGTGTGAGTACCTTTAGTAAAACACTGGCTCAATCACTTCTAACTTCATGTCCTCCAAGGGGGTTGGGATTTCCAGTCAGTATGAAATAATTGTTCTTAAGGATCCTCATAGCACAATCCTTCCTATTTACTTAGAAGCAGATCCCTCTGTTTTGCATAGATATTGAGAAATGTGAAGATCTCATTTTTATTGTAATGCTGTTGATGGCCCAGTTTTTCTTTGTACCATCTAGAAGTGCTGTCTGGTATGACAGTTGTGTCAGTTCTGTTGAACATTTGAAGCAGCGAGCTAAATAAATGCTGGTTATTAAAAAAACATTATTATCCCATATAACAGGGACCTTGGAGGTCTTCTAATCCAACCCCCTGCTTAGGCAGGAAACCCTATACCACTTCAGACAAATAGTTATCCAACCTCTTCTTAAAAACTTCCAGTGTTGGAGCATTCACAACTTCTGGAGGCAAGTTATTCCACTGATTAATTGTTCTAACTCTCAGAAAATTTCTCCTTAGTTCTAAGTTGTTTCTTTCCACCCATTGCTTCTTATCCTACTCTCAGGTGCTTTGGAGAATAGCTTGACTGCCTCTTTTTTGTGGCAACCCCTGAGATATTGCAACACTGCTGTCATATCTCCCCTAGTCCTTCTTTTCACTAAACTAGACATACCCAGTTCTTGCAACTGTTCTTCATATGTTTTAGTTGGGAGTAGATTTGGTTGGGAGAATTAACTTAGGTGAGACCTCCAAGCCAGAAATATATATAGAATAAGAGGTCGAGTTATAAGAGAGGTTCTTTGAAAAACTACTAATGGTATTTTCTTAGTAGAATAAATTATGCAAAATAGAAAATACCTGTATTTATGCATAATATATATAGATCAAAGAATTCCAGCTTTGTTACCAACACAGAATATACTCAGGATATTCTTTGGAAATGGAGGAACTCATGATTGTGTTATTTAGCCCCACCTTGGCAATACGGAACTCAAATATTTAGTAATAAAACAGACTATAGATTATTTTGTAATAAATCAACACTATAGACTATGCCCAAAAAGTTTGCTATGTCCGAAAAGCTAGCTTCAGCTTGCTGACTCTTTAATGGCTAGATGTCCCTTTGCTACATAGATAGCTGCTTCCTCCCCTCCCCTTTTGAATATTCATCTTCTTTCAGATACATGTCAAAGGAGGACTATGACATCCCTGGCCTGCAGCTGTCAGGCCTAACTCATGTGCTTGCCTTCTTTTCCCCTCAAGTGCAACTGGGAATCAATAGTGCATGACAACGCCCTTTGATTTACATTCTTGCTGGCAGAAAGAAAGGTCAAAGGCCAAGTTCTTCGTTTTCATAGAAAACTAATTAGACGACTCCATCGACACTGAATCAATAAAACTGATCAGGTGATTACACAGAGGGAGCCATTAAAATCCCTGTGACCTTTGATCCTGAGTCCCTAACCTGAGAAGGAAGAGGCTTGGTTACATTCCCTAGTGCCTTGGAGGGCAGAACCTGCAAAGTAAAGATGGACTGGTCAGAATGGGGAGGAAACACGAATTCTGCCTGTCATGGGCTCATAGGCTACTGCTCCCTTGTATCTCTATTGGCCAAACCATCTACAGGAATGCTGCCATAGGTGTACTGAAAACACTCGATCATGGAGGGAAAGAAGAACACTGTCTAAGCAATCATTTGATTCTAAGAACACTGATCCTAAACATATATGAAGAACACTGGTTCAGTATGTTCTTCATACACTTGGTAAAGTTTCCAGGCATCCATTTATCATTGTTCTCCAAATCAGATCTCACATAGCAATCAACAAAAGTTTGGCAATTATTCATTGGCCTTCAGTGTTTGAGTACTTTAAAACTGAATTATTGCTTTTAAAAACCCTATAGTTCTTGCCGTGGCTGTACTACATATCGTATATTTCTAAAACTAATTCAAAAAATGTGTACAGGTATGTGGATGTACAACTTCAGTGACCATTTGAAGTTACAATGGCACTGAAAAAAGTGACATGACCATTTTTTTTCACACAACCATTATAGTATGGTCACATGTTCAAAATTCGGACACTTGGAAACTGGCATGTATTTATGAATCTTTGGGGTCATGTGATGACCTTTTGCAACCCTCTGACAAGTTAAGTCACTGGGGAAACAAGATTCACTTAACAACTGTGTTACTAACTTAACAACTGCAGTGAGTCAATAATGGTAGCAAGACAGGTTGTGAAATGGTACAAAACTCACTTAAGGACAGACATTTTGGCCTCAATTGTGTTTGTAAGTCAAGGACTACCTGTACTGTGTATAAACAGTATCAATGACCAGTTATTAGCAGTATATATAATATTATGCTATTTTTCTAGTATACTTAAGATAGGGAATTTGCTCTCCCATTTCCTGTGGTCCCAGAACCAATATATATCCCATGTACAAATTATCTGAGATTGTGCAATGATGAGGTGTAAATATTTGCCAGCTCAAGATTCTCACACAAAAGCCCTTTCATAATTTCATGTTTTTTAAACTTTTGCCTGATAGCTAGGCTTCATACTAGTCTCTGGTCTCTTCTCACTACCTATCGCTATTCCTCTTCTTCAAGAACACAAGTTGGGAGCTGAACGAAGAAGTCTGCTTACAGGAACCTGAATACTAAAAGAGGAGTAGTCCCTTTTCTCATAGACTTTCCTAGTGAAGAACTAAGGAAATAGATACTAATCCCTGACACTAAGTATTTGTAAATAATACTGTGAGCGCAAATATATTTGAGAATGAAGCAAATATCTATGCAGAAATTGCCAGCCGTGTTTAAAGAGGCTTTAGAAGGAGGCGGCAATACACTCAATAGGAGATACTGTAGCTGGCAAGGTCACGCCCACACCCTTGCAGCACATAAGAGCCAAGTTCCTTTCCCCCAAACTTTATTCATGTGGCACATTTACAGCAAGGATGGGAGTAACGAGCCAATGAAGAGGTCAGGTTGGGTTCAGCTGGAACATCCACACACCATGCATTATTATTGGGAAGGCCCAGTGCCTGTATCGGCTCACACAGCCCGATTGCTGCATGAGCAGAGCCCTCTTGGTGTGGCTCCCAAGTTGATGGCAGCTGGAGCCTATGCCCCTGGGGGTCCATTCAGCAAGGGCCAGGGAAGGATATTCTGTCAGGAAAACACTGAGCTAGGAGAAGAAGAAAATAGGTTGATCTTCCTCCCTTTATACTGACACAGGGCATTGGGAACTGGAGTAGGCCATATCTCTCAGGCAACACATTGGTTTCAGCCACTGTGAAAAGGGAAATTAGTCAGATTGTAAAGGGAAAAGAACAGATTTCAATCGGTGCGCAGATTGCTACAGTGTACTGAGGCTGGGAATACAACTCCTTGGCTGGACAAGCAGTATATTGGGCATGTCCACTGCCTGCAATGGACTGCATACTACATGATGGTCATGTGCAAGCACAAAAAAAACACACTTAAATAGGGTCCCTGACATTCTGAGGATGCACCAATAAGAGACCTGGGTGCCAGAAGTGCTGCACGTCAGATGAGCATCAACCAGGATGCTCTAGCATGTAATATAGCCCCTGCTGAATGAAATCCCAGGGATATAGGTGGCTTTTGGTGGGCATGGAATACAGGCACTTCACCTTGAACAGAAAGAGCCGAGCTTCCTTAATCACATACAGGAGGAACCAGGGATGGGGCTTAGTGTTTATTGAAATCAGAAAGGGAACGAGCAGAAGGCTGCTGCAGAAAGGGGACTGTCTGGATGCTGCTCAGTCAATATTTAGCTGACACGCAGGAGACACAGTAACAGATTCACACAGGAGAAGAGGGGCTTGACCGCAGCTCTTGAGATAACGTACTCAAAATAAAGAGGGCAAGTGCCCAGAACATAGCACCACGGTCTTGCTACAGGCGCAATTGTGAGCACAGAGAAAGAGAAAGAGAGAGAGAGAAAGTGAGAAAGAGAGAGAGAGAGAGAGAGAGAGAGAGAGAGAGAGAGAGAGAGAGAGAGAGAGAGAGAGAGAGAGAGAGAGAGAGAGCCAATGGGAATCAGAAGCCAACAAAAGGGAAAACAATCTACGTCTCTAACCATGTGGAGCAAGCGCCCTAGGGGGCTGCAGCTGGACCAGGCCGGGCAGGCAGCTGGCCCTAGAGAGGGAGTCACTTCAGGCCTACACAGAGAATCCAGTTCCATATATACAGCCTCTACTGGCAGAACAGCAAAACTGACGGAGTCGTGGGGTTGCTCGTTCCTCTGTCCTCTTTCTGTCATTCGAATGCTCCAGCCCATCGCACCCATGTAGCAGGAGCCGGCCGCATGCAGCCCTGTCCGGCCGGCCCCAGAGATCAAAAGGGCTTGGAGGTCTGCTTGAAGATGAACCCTCTGTGGGCCAGCGTCTTCATGATGTTGGCAATGTTCTTGCAATCATCTAATATCCAGAGAAGAAAACAAAAGAACAAATTTCAATTGTGGGTAAAAAAAGAAACGTGTGTCTACACAAATCTAAGCGTCGTGGCAGAGGCGTGTGTAAGCTATGCATGCAGAATGCTGCACTGAGAAAAATACGTTCCTAACATGTCACAACCCATGACCTTACCTATAAAATTACTCTCTTATTTGAGCATCTTGCCATTTAGAAACATGAGTATTATTTGCCCAGACATCACAATAGAAAGCAATAATTGAAACACAACTGAAAATAATAAAACTGGCAATTACTATGATTCAACATTTATACAAAGTATGCAATGGAGCAGGGTAAATGCTAATCAAATTGTACGGAGCACATTTTGTCTTAACAAGGGAAAATCAAGGAAGTATGCAAACTACTGAAAATGGCAGCTCTAAAATCTTCACCTCTACAATGTACAGTATATGGACAATCTTGGCCTCTCATTTCCTTGCTCTTTCCATCCAATCAATATTTTATTTTAGTACAGGGGAGGGGATTTTGAGCACATGAGAGGAAGACGGTTGGCAGTTTAAAAATAGTGAGAGGAAATGAACATTGGCAAAGGTATCCTTGATTTTTGCTTAATTATGCTACTAATATTGGGGGCAGGTATCTGACATTTTAAAAACATTTTAGTCTATCTTCCTTTCAGAAACCCTGAATTCAGCTACAGTATAACATTTTGGGACAATACATTTTAAAATCTATATACTACTAAAACTAATTTCAATTGGGTGAAAGAAGACAACAAAGGGCAACAATTTGGAATCAGCATATTTCTAATAAGGTAAAGGTTTCCCCGCACATGCGTGCTAGCCATTTTCTGGCTCTAGGGATGATGCTCATCTCCATTTCCAGAGCCAGCGCTGTCCGAAGACGTCTCCGTGGTCATATGGCCGGCATGACTTAACACTGAAGGCGCACGGAGTGCTGTTACCTTCCCACATACTTCTAATAGTCTAGCCTAAAAAGAATGCATCTAAAATCTGGGAAGCATTACTCCCATGGAATTCAAATTTGTCGAAGTTGTGATCACTTCAGCACTGCTCTGTCACTGTGCCCAGCCACAAGTCACATGATCATCACTGCCACAGCTTCCCACAAGGAAAGTCAATGGGGAAGCTGGCAGGAAGTCAGAAATTGCTCCTACTCCCACTACTTTTTTGCCCATCCACGGTCATTCTGTTTCTCTGTTTATATAAGGAAATATTTCTGAAACGATGGCTCAGCGGCTCACAGGTTGTCTAATGAGTATGTAAAACTACATCAGTGAAATTATACAGGATCTTCACAAATTTGTTATTTTGTCAAACTTTGAAATAAGCAGGGGGAAAAAAAAACATCCATAAAATTTTGACTCGGAACATTTAGGCCAGAGATGGAGAACTGATTTTGCATCAAGTGCCAGTCTCGTGGCAATAACAAACATGACCTGTTTAATGAAGTCCAACAAAAACAGTATTGTCTTTGCTGACCTACAATCTTTTCAATGTCAAAATTCTCTTTCACTCTGAAAAGAGCAGCTGAGACTATTGGATGAATTTGGCAAGTTGGTAATTTTGCAGTTTCATTCATAAATACAAAATAACCTTATAGAAACCCTTTTGTGGCAGGGAATTGTTCATCCATCTGACTATTGGCTGTGACTGAAAACTTCAGATTCCATGCTCAGTAAAATTCATGGTAACTTCTACGGTAAGTATTTTTTTTTTCTTTTAAAAATGTTCAGGTTATATAATGATATGATTATCTAATTCATATAAATTAGAAAAAGTACAAACTGGTGACAGTGAAAAAACTATCAAGGACAAAGATGTCCTTTTCAACTCAAAAATGCTACAAAAACATAAAATGCCTGGCTTATCTGCCTTAGAGATCCCTTTCCTTATAAAAGCCAACAACTAGACCTAGAAACGTGACTCAGACTTAAGATTTTATAGATCTTAAATTATGAATTCTGTCACAAACAAAGAGCTAAACCAGTTTGAGATAATAACCACAAGTATTTGTGTTAAGCATACACAAGTTCAGAACTTTATTGCAGACCCTGCTAACTGCTTTCCTCACTCTTAACAGCGGAAGAATCGTAGCGGTTACAGCAAAAAAATTAGGGCAGAAATATGGACAGATACAGCAAACCATTCCCTTCTGAACTAACAGGGAAACAAGACTTGAGCTGATTTGTGTTACCTGGACTAAACGCAAGCAGAGTTTGCTAAAATAGAAGCAAGGCTTAAATTGATTCTTGGTGTCTATATTTCATGTTGAAAATTGGCTTGTAAATCCATGTTTTGATCTATGGTGGCCGTCTCCTTAAGAAAAAGCAAGAGTAAATGTGTAATTTCTCCCTTGACAGCACACAGTGGCGAGGCGATCCTTCTTCCCGCTCCCCTCCGACTTGGGACAGCTCCGCTGCCTCCCATCAGCACTCTTTCTTTCTCGCCCCACGCCTTGATGTCTCCATTTCATTAGTGTGTGCCCATTCATCACGCTGTTACCGTAAGGGTGACTTTGCCCACTTGCATGTGGCAGGCAGGGCCTGGATGACATGGGGTGGCGCTGCCACTCTAAAGGGGGAACGAAGTAGAACACACACACACACACACACACACACACACACCTGCTAGTAAATGGATGTTGTGGCAGAGGGACAGCTGCATCATTACTGATGTGTAAATGATAAAGCAGTGCCTCTACATCCATCTCTTAACTGTAAATCCAGGGAGTGCTTTATAATCAAGCGGCAGCGATAATAATGTGAAATTAGGTCTCTCTATCAAAGGGGGGAGGCCTTTTAATCACGGCTTAAAGGGTGCAAGCGCTGTTTATCATAATTGAACTGTATCCAGGCTAATTGTGGCCATATTTCACTGTCTAGGAGACAGGCACACTGTCTGAAGAATGAACACCAGGGGCCGAATGGAGCAGGAAACTGCTGTCCAACCAATCTTGGCCCCAAAGTGATGGCACTTCCCTATTCAGGAAGGATATCAATAGATATTCAGAACATCTCCATCACTTCCCTTCTGATTAACCTACAGAGTGCTGGTAACACAGCAGAGAAGCAGCAGAAAAGGAAACTGCAATCTTGACCTACAGAATTTTGCAATTGCATACAATTAAACAGTTCTGGGTGAGTACTGCCACCATCATTTTGTACCCAAAAAATAGGAAGCAAAAAAATAGATGGTACAATTATGCAAAATCTACATTTATGTCACATGCTGTGCTTAATCTGAGAACAAGTGCAAAACAGAATTATTATAACAATTATAGGAATAGAGATATTCTTATAATTAGTACATCTTGACCAATTTAATACATCTTGGCCCATTTAGCCCAGAATAGTATGTAGAAGACCCAAGCATTAAAACAATGGTAGTAAGGCAAAGTGATCTTAGGGAGTGAGCTGTTGGAAAGGTTAATATTAGAACAAGCATGTATTCTTTTTGTCACAAATATTGTATCTGCCTTAGCCAGAGATTTGGGCGTAGCTAAAATGATTATATCCACAAACTTCAATCAAACTAGATATTGCCCAAAAAAGTGAAAATAGAAGGGATTCCTCTTCTCTAAGGCGAATCTCATTTGTTTGGGAAGACTGACTGGTCTTGTATCTCAGCTGTACTTCTGCACAACAGGCTTAAATAGTCTCCAAGCAGAACACAATCATTTAGCAAATATGTTAAATGATTGTTTCTCAATCAGAGACTCATAAGCAAATGTAATACATTTTAAGTGCCACTTAGGTAACATGGGTCTAGTGGCCTCATTTTGAGAGCAACTTTGAGAACAGTCCATAAATGGAATGGTTGATTTGTGAAGATTATAAAGCAGGGGTGTCAAACTCGCGGCATCACATTGTCGTCATGTGATGTGATGACACATCACATGTGTTTTCACATCCGCTAAACCGGGAGTGGGCGTGGCCAGTGTGTGATGCATCCAGCCCGTGGGCCGCGATTTTGACACCCCGTTACACAGATAAAGCAACTTTCTGCCTCCTATCACCTCACCTCCCCCCCCTTGGTTGAGAATTGGGGCTAGGAATCCTGGTAGTTGCAGCCTCAACACCTCTGGATGGCTGTAAGTGAAGGAAGACTATACAATAACATAATCGCATTATGTAGCTTTTAATTATTCTAAGTGTCAAACCCTGGTAGCAGTGAGTATATATGTGAATCAACTGAGATAATCAATAAATAGATCATATATAAAGCACTAAGTTTTCAGAGTCAAAAGTTATCAACCGAAAGTATACCATTATACATCTCACCCTATTGCGTATTTCCATTAAATATCCAATCTAAGCACATTAATTCATCACATTTGTCGGTGTTTGTGATATTAAATGATTACTTATATGTGTGAATCAGTCATCGTATATATGATACTACGATGATAATTTTTAATTTAATCCCCCATCTCTTCCAGACATAAATATATCAAGAAAGGCAATTCTCACATTAACTGAGCTTGAGAGGGCACAAATTAACAAGCAGTAGCATAATCTACATGGATTCATGAAACTACTCTGGGTCAGTCAAGATAACGGATTGCATAAGGCAGTTTTTCTCATGGTCTGTACAGTACAGTAATACCCAGTCTAAGACAGTTCCCTCAGCCCATTCCTTGAGAGATCAAGGAGCTGGGGCCAGAAATATCACCTTCTCAGTGCAGCAACCTCCCTCTGAAACCATTTCCCCCCACAGTCAGATTAATTCCCACTGCCTATCCTTTCCAAAATGGTTTTAAAAACCAAAACATTTCTCCCTTGCAGAGATTTTGGAGAGAAAGAAGTTTAATCGAGGAACAGCAATTGAAATAATTTAGGTTTGTCACATATCATTTTAATTCTTTCTCATTGTAAGCTATCAGGACTCTGACAGGTAGGCACATAACGTATTTCTGTAATAAATAATCAATTATTCAATCAATCTAATGTGGGAAGATGAAAACAGTAGATGGGACAAAAC